GGAAAGGTAAATACACAGTAAAAGTAGGAAAGCATCTGCACACAATTATGATATCAAAACCAGAAATTGTGAGAAAAGGCAAGTACAAATGCAGGATATCAGAAATGCATTTGAAATTAAAAACAGCAACTGAAAACAGCCTTCTCTGTATACATATAATGCTATAGCAAAGCCTCACGGAGACCACAAAGCGAAAATCCACAGCAGACAGAAACACAAAAAGAGAAATGAGTCCAAACAGAACACTAAAGTCAGTCATCATACCAAAAATAAGAGAATAGTAAATATGATAAAAATAAGAGAATAAAAGAGGAAGGGAATAAGAGACATCTGCAAAACCAAATCTAAAATAATCAACCAATGGCAATAAGAACATACATATTGGTAATTACCTTAAATGTAAATGGAGTAAATGCTCCAACCGAAGACACAGATCAGATGAATGGATACAAAAACAAGATACATACATATGCCATCCATAAGAAACACATTTCAGACCAAAGGACACATACTAAATGAAAGTGGGGGGATGCAAAAATATATTTCATTCAAATGGAAATTAAAAGAAAGCAGGAGTAGCAATATTCATCTCAGACATAATGGGCTTTAAAATAAAGACTCTTACAAGAGACAAGAAAGGACACTACATGATGTCAAGGAATCAATCCAAGAAGAAGATATCACAGTTGTAAACATTTATGCACCCAACATAGGAGCATCTCAATATAAAAGGCAAATACTAACAACTGTAAAAGGAGGAATAAATACCAAAACACAATAGTGAGAGACGTTAATGCCCCACTTATACCAATGGACAGGTCAGATAATCAATGAGGAAGTACAATCCTTAAATGACACACTAGGCCAGATAGACTTGATTGATATTTATAAAGCACTCCATCCAAAAGCAGCAGAATACACATTCTTCTCAAGTGCTCATGGAACATTCTCCAGGATCAACCACCTTCTGGGTCACAAAGCAAACCTTGCAAGTCTAAGAAAACTGAACTCATATTAAGCGTCTTTTCTGACTGCAAGCCTGTGAGATTAGAAATCAACTATAAGAAAAAATTAAAAACAGTAAAAGCCACAAACACATGAAGGCTAAACAATATGCAACTAAACAACCAATGGATCACTGAAGAAATCAAAGAGGAAATCAAAAAATACCTACAGACAAATGACAATGAAAGCAAGTTTATAGTGAGAACCCAAAACCTACAGCATGCAGCAGAAGCAGTTGAAAGGAAATTTTACAGTGATATAAGCTAACCTCAAAAAACAAGAAAAATCTCAAATAAACTACCTAAACTTACACCTAAACAAACTAAAGAAAGAATAAACAAAACACAAAGGTATTAGAAGAAATCATAAAGATCAGAGCAGAAATAAATGAAATAGAGATGCAGAAGACAATAGAAAAGATTAATGAAATGAAAACTTGGTTCTTTGTAAACAGAAACAAAATTAGTAAACCTTTAGCCAAACTCATCAACAAAATACAGAAAAGAGCTCCAATCAACAAAATTAGAAATGAAAAGGAAGAAGTTACAGTATACACCACAGAAATACAAAGAATAACAAGAGACTACTACAAGCAACTATATGCCAATAACATGGACAATCTGGAATAAATGAACAAATTATTAAAAAGTTACTATATACCCCAGGTTGGAAGGTGTCCTATATGCTACTGGGAAAGAGCAGAGGGCAATCACTAATATCTACAGAAAGAAAGAAGCGGTCAGGCCAAAGTGAAAATGATGCTCAGTTGTGGATGTGTCTGGTGGTGAAAGTAAAGTCAGATGATACAAAGAACAATATTGCATAGGAACCTGGAATGTCAGTTCTATGAATCAAGATACATTGGACGTGGTCAAGCAGGAGATGGCAAGGGTGAACATCAACATTTTAGGAAATAGTGAACTTAAATGGATGGGAATGGGTGTATTTAATTTAGAAGACCATTACACCTACTACTATGGGCAAGAATCCCTTAGAAGGAATGTACCAGCCCTAACAGTCAACAAAGGAGCTTGAAATGCTATTATCTGAATGCAACCTCAAAAACGACAGAATGATCTCAGTTTGTTTCCAAAGCAAACCATTCAAATCACAGTATTTCAAGCCTATGCCCCCATCACTGATGCTGGAGAAGCTGAAGTTGACTAGTTCTATGAAGACTTAAAGACCTTCTAGAACTAACGCCAAAAAACGATGTCCTTTTCATTATAAGGGATTGGAATGCAAAAGTAGGAAGTCAAGGGAGTGAAAGTCGCTCAGTCACGTCCGACTCTTTGTGACCCCATGGACTATACAGTCCTTGGAATTCTCCAGGCCAGAATACTGGAGTGGTAGAATTTCCCTTCTCCAGGGGATCTTCCTGACTCAGGAATCAAACCGGGGTCTCCTGCATTGCAGGCGGATTCTTTACTGACTGAGCTATAAGAAAGTCAAGAGATACCCAGAATAATAGACAAGTTTGGCCTTGGAGTACAAAATGAAGCAAAGTTTAACAGAATTTTGTCAAGAGAACACACTGGACATATCAAACACCCTTTTTCTTTTTTTTTTTTTTCATTTATTTTTATTAGTTGGAGGCTAATTACTTTACAATATTGTAGTGGTTTTTGCCATACATTGACATGAATCAGCCATGGATTTACATGTGTTCCCCATCCCGATCCCCCCTCCCACCTCCCTCCCCATCCCATCCCTCTGGGTCTTCCCAGTGCACCAGCCCTGAGCACTTGTCTCATGCATCCAGCATGGGCTGGTGATCTGTTTCACCCTTGATAGTATACTTGTCAAACACCCTTTTTCAACAACCAAAGAGATGACTGCACATGGACATCACCAGACGGTCGATACTGTGATCAGCCTGATGATGTTGTTTGCAGCCAAACATGGAGGAGCTCTATTAAGTCAGCAAAAACAAAACTTGGATCTGACTGTGGCTCAAATCATCAGCTCCTTATTGAAAAATACAGGCCTAAAACAAAGTAGAGAAAACCACCAGGCCTTTCATGTATAACCTAAGTCAAATCCCTTATGATTATTCAGTGGTGGTGACAAATACATTCAAGGGTTTAGATCTGGGAGAGACAGTGCCTGAAGAACTTATAGACGGAGCTTCATAACTTTGAATAAGAGGCAGTGATCAAAACCATCCCAAAGAAAAAGAAATGCAAGAAGGCAAAGTGGCTGTCTGAGGAGCCTTTACAAATAGCTGAGGAAAGAAGAGAAGTGAAGGGCAATGAGGAAAGGGAAAGACATACCAAACTGGATGCAGAGTTTCAGAGAGTAACAAGGAGAGATGAGAAGGCCTTCCTAAATGAACAATGCAAACAGACAGAGGAAAACAACAGAATGGGAAAGACTAGACACCTCATACTGCATGATTCTACTTGTATGAGGCACATAAATCAGCCAAAATCACAGAAAGAGACAGTGAGACAGTTTCCAGCGGCGGGGAGAGGTTGAGGGTTTAGCTTTTTCTGATGAAAAAGTTATGGAGATGTGATGGCTGCATGAGGCTACGAATGCATTCAATAGCACTGAACTATATACTTAAAATAGTTAAGAGGGTAAATCTTATATGTATTTTATGACAGTGATTTTAATTGGGATATAGAGGTTTACAACATGGTAATTCACAATTTTTAAAGCTTATACTCTATTTGTAGTTATTCTAATTATTGGCTATGTTCCCTGCACTGTACAATATATCCTTGTAGCTTATTTATTTTATACACAGTAGTTTGTATCTCTTAATCTTCTACCTCTATCTTGCCCCACCCCTTCCCTCTTAAAAATGTTTTCATTTATTTTTGGCTGGGCCACCCAGCTTGTGGGATCTTATCTCCTTAGCCAAGGATCAAACCCAGGACTAGCAGTGAAAGCACTGTGTCCTAACCACTAGACGGCCAGGAACTTCCCCTAAGCATGTTTCTAAAGAACATAAGAAGGGCATAAGAAGAACATAAGATTTACCATTTGTAAAGATTATATCCACGTACAGTTATTATAATTATTGGCTATATACCCTGTGCTATATACCCTATTCTTTTTTTTTTAAAGACATTTATTCAGCGTCATGATCAAACTATTACATTTAGCAATCAACAGCATGGGTGCAAAAAAAAAAAATCTACATTAAAACACTTTGTTGGAATGCTTTACACTTTCCACAGAACAGAAACTAAAATAACCTGTTATACAATTAGTCACAAGTACAGTCCTCGAGTTTTTTGCCCATACACATGAGTATTGTCTAAAACATGTCTTCTTTGTAGCAGCTAGGCCCTGCCACCACTGTGCTTGGCTGAGTTCACAAATCTGTTGTAACCTGTAGCTTCCCTGTCACTTCTCTGGCTCTCCTTATATACCCTAGTCTTATAGCTTATTTAATTTGTACATAGTAGTTTGTACCTCTTAATCCCTGACTTCTATCTTGCTCCTCCCCGACTTCCTCTTTAAAAATATTTCTGAAGAATAAAGGAAGGGTTGGGGACAAGGATTTATGAATACTGCATAAATGTTACTTGTCACGATAACATAGGAAAAGAAGAAAAAGGTAAAATTTGAATAAATGTCTTGATTGCTAATGAGTAACATGTGGGAGACAAAGCACATTTAAATTTTGTAAACCAAAGAGCAGATTCTACAATTCTCCCGTGTTTCTGTAAGAACCTTCATTTATAAACATGTTTCCTTTCATCCTCAAGCCTGGAAGGGAGGCCTCTCCCTCTCAGCTTTGCCTTCCAGAAGCAGTACCTCCCAAGACTATATGCAAGTATCTTTGACTACATGCACTCTCAAGCCCTTCCCAGTTGACCTGCCATGTATTTGGTGTGTATTTCTATGTAACGAATTAATCCAAACGTAATGACGTGAAACAACACGCATGTGTCACAATTGCCATTCCGGTGCGTCAAGGGAACAAGAGTGGCTCACCTGGGTCACTCTGGTGCAGGGTCTGTGACGGAGGGGGAGTGGTGTCAGGCAGAGCCGAGGGTTCCTGAAGCCTGATGACAGCCTTTGGCAGGAGTCTTCTCCTCTCCTGGTGTTGGCCGGAGGCCTCGCTTCCGTACACCACTGCTTGAGCGTCCTCCCCGCACGGCAGGTGGCCTCCCTACGGTGACCTGAGAGAAAGAGGCAGAGAAGAGGATGTTACCTTGCTCTAAAACGATTGCTTTTCCTCTGTGCCCTTCCCTTTCCTTTGCAATATCTGCCCCTGAAGTACTTATATGTAAACTGAAAGTTGTAAGTTCTTTAAATCTCCTTAGGATGTTGTAATGATGGGTTATAATTTTGTTTGCTTTTTCTTTTCTAGATGATCTATATGGATTTTTGAAAGTAAAGTAGAATAATTCTTATTCAGGCAGCATAACCTAAAGGAAACAGGAAGTTCCCCAATAATTTTTAATGTGACAATGAACAAATTGATACAAAACCAAAAGACTGATTTATTGAATAAAATGACACTGATCATCCACCATGGAGATGGGATTTCCATGAGCGTATAATCAGACTATCTTGTTCCGAGAGAAAACCGGTGTTATAATCAAACGGCCCGCCAACATTATGACCAAAGAGTTCTCGGGTGATAATAGAATGTCTAAGAGTGGAATCAGTTGTAAAATTGGAATGTTTAGTGGCATAAGACCTCCTGGCATGACCTGTGGTTAGCATGATGGCAGCCTGGCAGGGTGGGCTCATGAGCAAGCTAAAACTACAGCCTTGTTCAGTGAAACTGTAGCCTGCATGCTGAGTAAAACTCAGCCTTCTCTGCACTGTGTGATACAATCTCAGACACACTCACATTGGTTGGGAACATGCACACACACCAGGATTTGGAGATGGAGCCCATGTCTGCCAGCACACATATTCACCGTTGCAGAGAGAGGCTTATGTGTCTGCCTAGTCAAATGAGCTCAGCCTGGGGTCTCACTGAAAGGAACCCTGGCAGATTGAGCAGCGTTCACACAGCGGGGTCAGCCCTGGGTGCCGTATCCCACAGGGAGATGCCTTCCTCAAGATCTTCACTTCTCTCGATCTCAAGTTGTTTGTCTAGACCCTTAAGACAATTTTGAATCTTCCTATCGATATTTTCTTAGTAATACTTTTGTTTAGGAAGCAACTGTGTTTTGTAGTATTGACTTCAAATATTTCCAAGTGTATTTGGTCAAACTTCCTTATTACCATAAAATTTCAAAGACATTCTTTGCATTTCTAAGGTTATTAGGGATGTCATATTCCGCTGAATCATGTCTGATCAACTTCAAAGATTGTAGAAAGTAGATAATTTTCTCTTAAGCTAGGCAGTATAATGGAGTATGTTTTCTTTAACTATGTTTCAGAGGTGTCATTCTATAAAGAAAAATGTCTGGTTTTGAGTGAAGAAATGAGCATTCTGCTTTTCTAAAGCATGTCTTTGCTCCTGAAAATAAAAGTTTAAAAAGGAAAGAAAGAAAGCACTGTTAATTGGTGTGGAGATTCCGTAAAAACTGGAAACAGAACTGCCATACGACCCAGCAATCCCACTGCTGGGCATACACACCGAGGAAACCAGAATTGAAAGAGACACATGTACCCCAATATGCATCACAGCACTATTTACAATAGCCAGGACATGGAAGCAACCTAGATGTCCATTAACAGATGAACGGACAAGAAAGCTGTGGTACATATACAAAGTGGAATATTACTCAGCCATTAAAGAGAATGCATTTGAATCAGTTCTAATGATGTGGATGGAACTGAAGCCTGTTATACAGAGTGAAGTAAGCCAGAAAGAAAAACACCAATACAGTATACTAACACATATATATGAAATTTAGAAAGATGGTAACGATGACCCTATATGCAAGACAGCAAGAGACACAGATGTAAAGAACAGTATTTTGGACTCTGTGGGAGAAGGTGAGGGTGGGATGATTTGAGAGGGTAGCGTTGAAACATGTATATTATCATATGTGAAGCGGATCGCTGGTCCAGACTCAATGCATGAGACAGGGCGCTCAGGGCTGGTACACTGGGATGACCATGGGGGATGGGATGGGGAGGGAGGTGGGAGGAGGGTTCAGGATGGGGAACACAGATGCGCCCGTGGCTGATTCATGTCGATGTTTGGCAAAAACCACTACAATACTGTAAAGTAATTAGCCTCCAATTAAAATAAATTAATTACAGTTTTTTTTTTTAAAAAAAGAAAGCACTGTTAATTGATAAGACCCCGAACCGACAATTATTGTGAACCTGGGAAAACATGATGCAAATCGAGGTTGCAAATACTACTGCACATTGCTTTTGTTGTCTATTGCACATTGCTCTATTTGTTTCCTTGAACATTATCATTTCTTAAGATTCCATTTAATTAAGCATTTCTTTTATTGGTAGTGATTTTATATATATATATATATAATATTTTGTTTATATATATATGTATATATATATAGTTGGTTATAAGGCTAAAATTTCAAATCATAAGGCTAAAATTTCAAACTATGCTATTTGAGATTATGGGAATTATTTTCAATGAAATTTTATAAAGGGGAGAGTTATTTCATCAAACTTTCTATGAAAGTCTTGAATTCTAGACAAACCAACATAAGAAAAAGAAACGAGTATTCCAAAGTAAGGGACCTTCTGGACACTGGAGGAAAAATAGAAACAAAAAACGGGTTGCTTTCTAACTTCCAGCAGTCTTGCAAATCACAGGGCAACTGCATGGACTGAATCCAACCTTTTCTGAAAACACACTTGATTTTAAGAACTAGGGACCATGATAGTGATTTGTTTCCACCAGAGGGCACCACAGACTATGCTCCAGCAACCGTGCCTGTCCTGGGACAATAACCTCAACTGGGTCCTTTAAGTCAAGATGGCAGAACAGGAGGACATGGAGCACGCCTCAACTCCCAAACACATCAACAACACATCTACCAATGGAAAAATCCTCACAGAGCTCCTGCTGAACAGTGGCAAGGCCATGGGGTACTTGAAAGGACAGGAAAAACCCCTGTACAACCAGATAGGATGAAAGAAAGAGAATAGAGGAAACGAGACTGGCCCAGCACCCGTGGTGGGAGCTGAAGAAGAAACGTTCCCACATCTGGGGAAGCCCCCTTATGAGCGGGGAGATCAGCCGGGACAGAGGGCAGCTTCAGGGGCTGGGAGGAGAGCCCATCAGCCAGCCTGTAGCAGGCAGGTCGGAGTACACAGATGGCCCATGCCACAGTCGTGCGTGCCCAAACTGGGACATGTGTCTCCTGGAGCAGACGGGGGCTGGGTGCTGGAAAGTAGGGTATGGAGAATAGCCTGAGAGAGAGGACTGCTGTTGGCTGTGAGTGTGCGTGGGTAGGAGTGAGGAGCTTCACAACAGGGAACGCTCATGGAGTACGTCGGAGCTGCCATTGCAGCCGCCCCGCCCACTTGCTGGTACTGTCTCTGCAGGCACCAGGGGGGGCTCCTACCTGCGTGGGCATGCACACGCTGCCTGCCTCTGCCATCTCCACCCCCACCACCCTGGGGAGGCTCGTGTGCTCCAGGGCAGCCTCAAGAGCAAACACTTGTGGGTGACCCACACACAGAGCCGAAACCACAGCTGAGCCCCAGGGGCTGTGCAACAAAGGAAGAAGAACCGAAATCTCTCCTCATGGCTGTGTGTGACCTGTGGATTTACACCCTTACTCCCAGCCTTGTCAACACAGCACCCATGGAGCGTCTAAACAGGAAAAAATTACCCCTGCAGTGGAGAAAGGTCTGGCTTTGTCCACTGTAGGCTTTATGAGCACATAAGGTCCAGCTGGTCAAGGCTATGGTTTTTCCAGTGGTCATGTATGGATGTGAGAGTTGGACTGTGAAGAAAGCTGAGCGCAGAAAAATTGATGCTTTTGAACTGTGGTGTTGGAGAAGACTCTTGAGCGTCCCTTGGACTGCAGGGAGATCCAACCAGTCCATCCTAAAGCAGATCAGTCCTAGGTGTTCACTGGAAGGATTGATGCTAAAGCTGAAACTCCAGTACTTTGGCCATCTCATGCGAAGAGTTGACTCACTGGAAAAGACCGATGCTGGGAGGGATTGGGGGCAGGAGGAGAAGGGGACAACAGAGGATGAGATGGTTGGATGGCATCACCAACTCGATGGACATGGGTTTAAGTAAACTCCGGGAGTTGGTGATGGACAGCGAGGCCTGGCGTGCTGCGATTCATGGGGTCGCAAAGAGTCGGACACAACTGAGCGACTGAACTGAACTGAACTGAACTGAACTGAAACACGGAGATTGGGCCAGGATGGAGTCAGAGCTGCCTCCATAGGGCCCAGAGCAGGTTCAGGTACACGATCACTGTGGTCCTAGGACCTGACCTTAGTAGATCTATGCTGCTAGCCTGCTGAAGACAACACCTGAGAGACACCAGGGCCAACTGCCAGCACACCTACAAGCTAAGGTGGGCTCAAAAGACGTGCCAGCAGCAGTGTACTCCGAACCAGCACATCAGGTGAAAAGTGACATGACAGAGCACACTCACAGGTGAACACCAGCAGAGAAGGAAGACTCGGTGGCCTCTTTCCAAGTGGGAGTGCTCCAAGCATGCTTACTTCACACCACAGGTCAGAAATAGCTAAGAAACAGATCTGGGGGCTTCTACTCCAACAGTTAGGGAGCAGACTCCATCCCTGGCAGGGCAATGACATCCACAGAGCAAAGGGGAGGGAGGTCCTATTCCACATCCAATACAGGCTCTGGACAGCACACCACCTGTCACACCTCTTATCAGAGGGAATCACAGCCATCACATAGAGAAGAGAGGCGGTAGTCATCTATACAAAAAGAGCCCTCACACCAAAAAATATTAAACCCACACAGGCTACACAAGGGCATTCCAACATAAAAAGAGCCCTCCAAGAGAGTCTGAGGGTCTGGTATCAGGAAGAAGAACCCTCAGAGCATTTAGCTATGAAAGGGGATTGGGTCCAGGAGGTCTCAAGGCTGGCAGGAAGGGCGGAGAGACTCCACTCTTCGGGGGTGCACCCACAAGGTCTCACATGCACTGGAAATCAGCACAATCAATTCCCTTCATTACAAACCTGGGTTAGACCTACCTGAGGTTTTGGAGGGTTTCCCAGGAAGGCAAGGGTTTGCTGTGGCTCACTGTGAGGGCAAGGACACTGGTAGCAGATGCCACAGGGAATATTGATCAGCATGAACTCTTCCAGAGCTCCCCATATCAGCTCAAGACCTGGACCACCCAACAGCCCAAAGATTCCAGTGCTAGAAAGCCTCAGAACAAACAACCAATAAGTTACGAACACAGCCCCACCCACGAGAAGACAGGCTGCCTAAAGTCAGACTGAGCTCACAGCCACCTCACAACATACCCCTTGACACGACCCTGTCCGTCAGAGGAACAAGCCCCCAGCTCCACCCATCAGAGGGCCGCACTGGTTCTCCCACCAGAGAGCTGGCATAAGCCGCCAGGTAGCCTGTTCCACCAGGGCACAGATAGCAGGAGCAAGAAGAACTAGGATCCAGCAGCCTGCAAAAGGGGAGCCGCAATCACAGAAAGACGAAATGGGATGGCAGAGGAATATGTCCCAGATGAAGGGGCAAGATAAAACCTCCATCCGAAAAGAATTCAGAGTGATGACAGTAAGCATGACCCAAAATCGCAGAAAAAGGAGGAGGCACAGACCAAGAAGATACAATAAATCTGTAGTAAAGAGATAGATTTTAAGAACTAAAGAGATGAATAGCACAATAATTGAAATGAAAATACACTAGAATGAATCAATAGCAGAATAACTGAGACAAAAGAATGAATAGATGACCTGGAAGACAGAGTGACAGAAATCACTGTCACAGACAAGAATAAAGAAAAAAATGAAAAAAAAAAAAGCAAGGAGGACAGTCTAAGAGACCTCTGGAGCAATATTAAAAACATCAACATTTGCATTATCCAGGTCCCAGAAGATAAAAAGAAAGGGAAAGGGCCTGAGAAAATATTTAAAGAGATTATAGCCAAGAACTTCCCTAACATGAGAAAGGAAATAGTCACCCAAGTCCAGGAAGTGCAGAGAATTCCATACAAAATAAACCCAAGGAAGACACACACACAGGAAAACATAGTAATTAAACTAATAAAAATTAAATATAGAGAAAAATATTTAAAAAAAAATAACATACAAGGGAATTCCCATAAGGCTATCAGCTGGTTTTTCAGGAGAAACTCTGCAGGCAGAATGGAGTGGCATGATATACTTAACACAATGAAAGGGGAAACCTACAACCAAGAATACTCTACCCAGCAAGGCTCTAATTCAAATTTGATGGCAAAATCAAAAGCTTTACAGGTAAGCAAAAGCTAACAGAATTCAGCACCACCAAATCAGTCTTTCAAAAAATGCTAAAGGAACTTCTCTAGGTGGGATAAAAGAGGCCACAATTAGAAATAAGAAAATCATAAATGGGAACGCTCACCAGTAAGGGCAAACATATAGTAAGAGTAGGAAATCATCCTCACACAAATATGATCTAAAAACCAGAAACTGTGAGAACAGGAGGGTACAAATGCAGGAAATGGCAACTGCACTGAAATTAAGAGATCAGCAACAACGGATCAGTGTGTATGTCCACTGAAGCTAAGGTCCTTTAGTCGTGTCTGGCTCTTTGCGACCCCGTGGACTGTGGCCCACCAGGCTCTGTCCATGGGATTTTCCAGGCAAGAATACTGGAGGGGGTTGCCATGCCCTCCTCCACAGGATCGTCCCAACCCAGGGACCAAACCCAGGTCTCTTAGTCACCTGCGGTTCTCTAGTACTAACGCCACCTAGGAAATCCATATATATATATGGAGAGAGAGAGACTGCTATATCATAACCTCATGGGAACTTCAAATCAAGAAAATACGCTACGCACACACATACACAAAAGAAAAAGCAGCGCAGCACACCACTAAAGATAGACATCAAAACACACAGAAGAGAACAAAAGAAGGGAAGAAAGAAGACAAACACAAACTGAAAACAATCGAGAAAAGGGCAATAGGAACATACATGTCAACAATTACCTTAAATGTGAATGGATTAAATGCTCCAATCAAAAGACACAGACTGATTGAATGAATGTTAGAAGCAAGATATGCTGTCTAAAAAAGAATCATGTCAGACTAGGAACAAACACAGACTGAAAGTGAGGGGTAAAAGAAGGTATTCCATGCAAATAAAAATTGAAAGAATGCTGGTGTACCAATACTCACATCAGACAAAATACTTTAATTAAAGACTGTTATAAAATATAAACATGTGGAGACTAAACAATATGTCACTAAACAAAAAATGGATCACCAGAGAAAATCAAAGATGAAATAAAAAAATACTCTAGAGACAAATGAGAATTAAAACACAATGATCCAAAGCCTATGGGATGCAGCAAAACCAGTTCTGAGAGGGAAGTTTATAACACTACAATATTATCTCAGGAAATAAATGAACAAAAATCTCAAATAAACTACCTAACTTTATGCCTAAATCAACAAGAGAAAGAATAACAAACAAAACTCCAAGTTAGTAGAAGGTAAGAAATCATAAGGCTCAGAGCAGAAATAAATAAAATAGAGATGAACAAAAGACTAGCAAAGATCAAATAAACTAAAAGCTGGTTTTTTGAAAAGATATACTGATGAAACTCTAGCCAGATTCATCAAGAAAAGAAAAGGAGAAGGTTCAAATCAATACAATTAGAAATGAAAAAAGAGCAGTTACAAAGAACATCACAGAAATACAAAGGATCATAAGAGACTACTACAAGCAACTATACACCAATAAAATTGACCACCTAGAAGAAACAGACAAATTCTTAAAATGATACAATCTCCCAAGACTGAACCAGGAAAATATAGGAAATATGAGCTGATCAATCACAAGTAGTGAAATTGTGATTAGAACATTTCCATCAAACAAAAGTCCAGGACCAGATGGTTTCACAGGAGAATGCTATTAAACATTTAGAGAACAGTTAACATCCATCCTTCTGAAACTCTTCCTAAAAACTGCAGAGGAAGGAACACTTCCAAGCTCTTTCTACAAGACCACCTGATAACAAAATCAAAGATACCACAAACAAGAAAATGACAGGCCAGTATCACTGATGAACATAGGTGCAAAAATTCTCAACAAAATACTAGCAAACCAAATCCAACGATGTGTTAAAGGATCATACACATGATCAAGTGGGATTTATCCCAAGGATGAAAGGAATCTTCAGTATACACAAATCAAAGGTATGATATACCACATTAACAAATTGAAGAGTAAAAAACCATATGATCATCTCAATAATTACAGAAAACATTTTGAAAAAATTCAACATCCATTTATGATAACAACTCTCCAGAAAGTGGGCATAGAGGGAAACTACCCCAATATAATGAAGGTCATATATGACAAACCCACAGGTAACATCATTCTTAATGATGAAAACCTGAAAGCACTTCCTCTAAGATCAGGAAGAAGACAAGGGTGCCCACTCTCACCACTTTTAATTTTATTTTATAGTTTTAGAAGTCTTAGCCATGGCAATCAGAGAAGAAAAATAAAATAAGTCAAAACTGGAAAAGAAGTAAAACGGTCACTATTTGCAGATGACATGATACTGTACATAGAAAATGCTAAAGATGCTACCAGATTGGAAGAATCAATATTGTCAAAATGTCTATACCATCCAAGGCAATCTATAAAATTTCCAATGGCATTTTTCACAGAACTAGAACACAAAGTTTTACAATTTGTATGGAAACACAAAAGACTGAATAACCAAAGTAATCTTGAGAAAGAAGACTGGAACTGAAGGAATCAGACTCCCTGATTTCAGACTATATTACAAAACTAAAGTCATTGAAATAGTATAGTACAGGCACAAAAGCTGAGATATAGATAATGGAACAGGATAGGAAGTCCAGAGATAAACTCATGCACCTGTGGTCACCTAATCTATGGCAAAGGAGGCAAGAATATACAAGGAAAAAAGACCATCTCTTCAATAAGTGGTGTTGGGAAAACCAAACAGCTACATGTCAAATAATGAAATAAGAACTCTTCTTAATACCATGCACAAGAATAAAGCCAAAACAGTTAAAGACCTAACTATTAGAGCAGAACACTGTCTGATATAAATTGCAGCAGTACCTTTTTGGCCCCCATCCTAGAGTAATGAAAATAAAAACAAAAATAAACAATGGGATGTAATTAAACTCAAAAGCTTTTGAATAGCAAAAGAAATCATAAACAAAATGAGTGGGAAAAAATATTTACAAACTATGCAAAAACCAAAACTACAAACAACCCAACAAAAAATGGGCAGAGGGTCTCAAGAGACATTTCTCCAAAGAAAACATATAGATGGCCAAAAGCACATGAAAAGATGCTCAACATCACTGTCAGAGAAATCCAAATTAAAATAATAATGAGATATCACCTCACACTGGTCGGAATGGCCATCATCAAAAAATCTATAAAAAATAAATGCTGAAGATGGTGTGAAGGAAACGGAACCCTCCTTCACTGCTGGTGGAAATTTAAGTTGGTACAACCATCATGGAGGACAGTATGGAGGTTCTTTCAAAAAACTAAATATAGAATTACATATGACCCAGCAGTCCCACTTTTCAGCATATATCCAAAGAAAACCATAATTTGAAAGTGTGCATGCATCCTAATGTTCATTGCATCACTATGTACAATAGCCAAGACATAGAAGAAACCTAAATATCCTTGGACAGATGAATGGGTAAAGAAGATGTCATACATAAATATATACAGTGGAATACTACTTAGCCATAAAAAATGAAATAATTCCATTTGGAGCAACATGTATGGACCTAGAGATTATCATACTAAGTAAGTACATTAGACAGAGAAAAAAATATCATGTGATACTACTTACAAGTGCAATGCAATAAGAATAATACAAATGAATTTATTTACAAAACAGAAACCAACTTACAGATCTTGAAATCAAACTTACAAGTTACCAAAGCAGAAACGGGGTGAGGGGAGTGATAAATTAGGAGATTCTGATTAATATATATATATATACTATATATAGAATAGATAACTACTAAGAACCTACTGTATAACACAGACAAGTCCACTCAATATTCTGTAGCAACCTGTATGGAAAGAGACCCTGGAAAAGAATATATATACACTGGCTTGGCCAAGAGATTCATTTGGGTTTTTCTGTAACATCTTATAGAAATATCTTCAGCCAGTCATATATGTTATATATACAACAAACTTTTCAGCCAACCATATATCTATGAATATAAACATATTCATGTTTATGAATGTTATGAATTCATGTTTATGAATATGTTTATAAACATATGTATATATATATCAGATTCACTTTGTTCACCTGAAACTAAGACAGCATTGTAAGTCAACTATGGCCCAATGAATTTTTTTTTAAACTGGAGGAAGAAAAAAGTAGCTCCTTTTAGATTTTTGTTTCAAAGAAAGGTTTTTGTTTTTAAGATCAAATGAGCACTATTAGTTTTCAATAAGCTGGGATTTATGATTAAAACACTGACTTGACTCTATACCCTCTGACATTTTTACCCTCTAGATGGAAAAACAAAAAACAAAACCAAAAATTACAGCAGAGGCTTCATCTTATACATATATAGGTACTTCTGCTGGATCGTTTATTTAGAAATTGGGTGATGGAAAACTTTGTGCTCCTGGAACTTTAGGATGTTGTTCACCTACAATGTTGTCTGTTGGGATTCATCTAGCACGATATTTGGAATTTGTGGAACCTGTGGAGTTGTCCTAGGTTCTGGTTTCCAAGGAAGCTGCCCAGAAGGGCCCTGCCCTCCAGGCGTTTGTCTAGTTCTGGCGGTTGTGTGCAGTCACTCACTTCCAGCCCAGCAGTGTTCCACAGAGAGATTGCCCCAGCTCCCACTTACAACATATTGAAACCCAGGCTTTGCCCCCGAGCCTCTGACACTCAGATGCTTGCAAGCTACCCTTTCATTTGCTTCAAACGCTGGATCTGTAAAGACAGATTTATACTTGTACTCCTTTTGTGCTCTGAGGGGCAAATTTTATGAGTTGAAAGCTGACTGGCAGTCTCCTGTGTGTGTTCAATAAGGCAAAGTGCGTGTGAAGCATCACCCCCATGGCTGCATTCTGCCGGCTGGTGAGGACTGAAATACCGCATTTGGAAATGGAGCACCATTGGAAATGCATGGACCGGCCGAGATCACAGCCCAGCATAATTTTCATGTGAAGATGTGAAACCCCGTTTCCTCTGGTTACTCTGCTGAGAAGCATTAAGTGCATCTCCTAGCCTGTGACAAGGGATTCCTGCCAGGGCACTGCGGGGAACACAGCGCAGAGTAAGGAAGGCACCAGGTTTCCAGAATCTTAGACTGACCAGGGCCCAGCTTTCAAGCTAATGGCATGAGGACCCCTAAATGTGGAAAAAGCGATGCTTCGGAACAGCTTAAGCCACTTCCTGGTTTCAGTACGGGATTTTCCACTGTCACTTTGTATCCGAGAAGTGTGTCTGATGGAGACACAGCTCTGACAGCTGAGTGGACATCTGAGGCCTGCAGGACATGCCTGTCTTCCCAGGACTCTGGATAGTGACTGTAATTGCTTCTGTTTCCATACAGGAATTAAGGCACTACTAAACCATTTTCCAAAATGAAAAAATAGACATTCCGCATAGCATGAATTATTTTGTTAGCAAATAAAACTTTTCTTGTGGCTTCTTTCCCCTCCCCTATAATATCAAGTTTTCCTTTTTCTAATCTTTCTCAGTTCTATTTCATGTCACCTATAAACCTTAAATCATCCCCGTATAGAATTTAATAAGAATGCATGAGAGCCACAGGTTTGAACAATTTACTGGGAAACATGGACTTTCAAACTAGGGGCCCCCATTTAATGTAAATAGTAAAGAGGATGGACAAATTCTAATCAGTTTAAAACTCTTACTGGGGGCATGCAGTCTTAGTAAAGCAGTATACTTTTTGCACTGCAATTATACCAACACAGTCTGGTTGCATCAATCAGAAGTTTTCTGACAATTAAGCATTTCTGACTAATACAAATAGGAAATAAAATGGTTTCTGAATAAAGACACAGAGTTCTCTTTTACCTAGCGTCCCTGCTCAAATCGGTGCCTCCTCTCTCCTCTTCAAAGCCCTCAGGGAATCCAAAGAAATACTGATTATCCATTCTTCTCATTTCCCATTTCCTCCACAACCCTCTGTCATTGTTTCCTGCCATCAAACCTTTATTGAAACTGCTTGTGTTAAACTTATCAATGGATTTCTATTTTCCAAGGTCAACAGTTTTCCTGTCCTTAAGTGATTCCCCTTCCCTACTTCCTTCTTTACTCAAATGGTTCTCCCACCTGGTTCAACTGCATCTCTGGCCATTTCCTCTCTGTCTACACTTACACACACTCTCAGCCTTCACTCACTTTCCTTCTTTCTCAATCTACACTTTCCCTAAGTCTCCTCTCCCTGAATTCATGTATCACTTATATGATGATAATTTTTTAGTCTTTTCTGTGGTTCAGACTTTTAAGATCTAGCCTCTCATTTCTGTCTCCTGAGTTTCCCTGCCTGGGTGTCTGGCATGGAGCTAGTACTACATGACAAACTGCTGTTTCTCCTCTTGTGTGTTACCCAGCAATAGTTGCCAGCCTTCTCTGCAGTGATATGGGGCCGTGTGATAGGCTTACGGCCAATGGAATATGGGTGAGCTCGACACAGATCAGATTACTTTCATTTCTGGTCCCTGTGGTGCTCTGCACGGCCCTCTAAGGTTCTCCTCTTCCCTGACAATGTTGGATGATGGAAGGGCAGGAGATCCACCAGCCAGGAACATTTGGTGCACATTTACTAGAATGAAGAATACTGTTGTCTCGGACCCCTGAGAACTGCGGTTGCCAGTTACAGCAGTTAGGTTGTCCTGGTTATTATGGCACCTCCAAAGTGAATCTTAGGTCTCCAAAATGAATCTCAGGTTCTCCCACAAAACCAATCCCCCATCTCAGGAAATGGGACTCCAACTCGCCCAAACCAGGAGCTTCAAAGTCCCCCAGAACCTATCTTACAAGCTTATCTCACATCTGTCCTCTCCCCAGGCCACAGTCACTTGACCATGTTGCTGTTTCCAAGGACTAGACACTCTGGATCAGCCCTCACGGCTCCCCGTGCACACAATGACAACTGTCTCCTAATGGTTCTCTCTCCCACTCCTCCCCTCTTTGAAGGATAATCGTACTCTTCACCGTTATCTGGTTTTCATCTTAAAAATAAGTGACACCGCTTTTCTGCTAATAAATAAATGTATATGTTGCTTTAGAAATTTTGGAAAACTCAGAAAAATATTAAATAGAAAATAAATGTCAGTAACAATTCTATTATTAATTCCTCTATATAAGCACTGGTAAGCATCTGGTTCCCCCTTTATGGATCACAGCCTTATTGTAGCAAAGGGGCTTGTTAACTCAATGAAGCTATAAGCCACATGGTGCAATGACGGCCAAGACAGATGGGTCATAATGAAGGGTTCTGAGAAGAGGTGGTCCACTGGAGGGGAAAGCAAACAAGCTAATAGAGATGATGGAATTCTAGCTCAGTTATTTAAAAATCTTAAAATATGATGCTGTTAAAGTGCTGCACAAATTCAGCAAATTTGGAAACTCAGCAGTGGCCACAGTACTAGAAAAAGTCCATTTTCATTCCAATTCTGAAGAAAGGCAATGCCAGAGAATGTTTAAACTATCATACAATTGTGCTCATTTTGCACACTAGCAAAGTAATGCTCAAAATCCTTCAAGCTAGGCTTCAGCAGTGTATCAATTGAGAACTTCCAGATGTAGAGCCTGGGTTTAGAAAAGGCAGAGGAACCAGAAATCAAATTTCCAACATTCATGGAATCATGGAAAAGGCAAGGGAATTCCAGAAAAACGTGTACTTCTCCTTTGTTGACTACACAAAAACCTTTAACTGTATGGATCAGGACAAACTGCAGAAAATTCTTAAAGGTATGGAAGTATCAGACTGTCCTACCTGCCTCCTGAGAAACCTGTATGTGGGTCAAGAAGCAACAGTTAGAACCAGACATGGAACAAAGGACTGGTTCCAAATTGAGGAAGGAGTACATCAAGGCTGTGTATTGTCACCATGCTTATTTAACTTCCATGCAGAGTACATCATGCGAAATGCCAGGCTGGATAACTCATAAACTGGAATCAAGACTGCTGGGAGAACAACCTATCAGGCAGATGATACTGCTCTAGTGGCAGAAAGCGAAGAAGAACAAAGAGTCTCTTGATGAAGGTGAAAGAGGAGAGTGAAAAACTTGCTTGAAACCTAACATTCAAAAAACTAAGATCATGGCACCTCATCCCATTCAGTTCAGTTCAGTCGCTCAGTCGTGTCTGACTCTTTGTGACCCCATGAATCGCAGCACACCAGGCCTCCCTGTCCATCACCAACTCCCGGAGTCCACCCAAACCCATGTCCATTGAGTCCATGATGCCATCCAACCATCTCATCCTCTGTTGTCCCCTTCTCCTCCTGCCCTCAATCTTTCCCAGCATCAGGGTCTTTTCCAATGAGTCAGCTCTTCGCATCAGGTGACCAAAGTATTGGAGTTTCAGCTTCAACATCAGTTCTTCCAATGAACACCCAGCATTGATCTCCTTTAGGATGGACAGGTTGGATCTCCTTGCAGTCCACGGGACTCTCAAGAGTCTTCTCAAAAGCATCGATTCTCCAGTGCTCAGCTTTCTCTATAGTCCAACTCTCACATCCATACATGACTATTGGAAAAACCATGGCTTTGACTAGACGCACCTCTGTTGAGAAAGTAATGTCTCTGCTTTTCAATATGCTGTCTAGGTTGGTCATAATTTTCCTTCCAAGGGGTAAGCATCTTTTAATTTCCTTTAGGATTGACTGGTTTGATCTCCTTGCTTTCCAAGGGACTGATCCCATTTCATGGCAAACAGAAGGAGTAGAAGTGAAAGCAGTGACAGATTTTATTTCCTTGGGCTCCAAAATCACTGAGGACAGTGACTGCAGCCATGAAATTAACAGATGCTTGTTCCTTGGAAGGAAAGCAATGACAAACCTAAACAGCATATTAAAAAGCAGAGGCATCATTTTGCTAACAAATGTCCATATAGTGAAAGCTATGGCTTTTCCAGTAGTCATGTATAGATGTGAGAGTTGGACCATAAGAAAGCTGAGCACGGAAGAACGGATGCTTTCAAATTGTGGTGCTGGAGAAAAGTCTTGAGAGTCCCTTGGACTGCAAGGAGATCCAACCAGTCAATTCTAAAGGAAATCAGTCCTGAATATTCACTGGAAGGACTGATGCTGAAGCTGAAGCTCCAATACTTTGACCCCCTGATGCGAAGAGCCAACTCATTGGAAAAGACTCTGATGCTAGGAAAGATTGAAGACAAAAGAAAACGGCAGTGACAGAGGATAAGATCATTAAGATATTAATAGCATCGCAACTCAATGAACATGAATTTGAGCAAACTCGAGGAGATAGTGTAGGACAGAGGAGCCTGCAGTCTATGGGGTCACAAAGAGTCAGACCCGATTTAGCAACTGAACAACAACAATGAAACATTTGGTTCACAGACTTCCTATGTCATTTTATATGTATACATTTCATAGGTTTTTTACTAGTACCACATGAAGGGGAGCAGAATATATACCCAAAATATACATCTTTGGCATAAGAATAATTTTAGGCTGATTATTTTTAAGCAATAGCATACACAGGAGAAGCTTGGAGAAGCTGCCCTTGTAAGAGACAATCCCCTTATCAACGTAAGGGGAATTATTATGGGGTGGGCTCAGTCAAGAGTCTAGAAAAGTAAAGAGAAAGTAATTTTTCTTCCTTCTACATATATCCTACATATATCCTTCCTACACACACACACACACACACACACAGTGAAAAACAACAGGTCCCTATCTCAGCCCTCTCAATTTCCAATTCCACCTGTCAGAAGATTCAGGGGTTTTTCTCCATATTTTTAAATGACATCCTTTTACTGCTATTCCTTGATTTTTAAATTACATATGTTATCAACTGACTTTGGTATTAGGAAAATGAAGATCAAGTTCTGTTCAGTTCAATTCAGTTGCTCAGTCGTGTCTGACTCTTTGCAACCCCATGAATCGCAGCATGTCAGGCCTTCCTGTCCATCACCAACTCCCGGAGTTTACTAAAACTCATGTCCATCAAGTCGGTGATGCCATCCAGCCATCTCATCCTCTGTCGTCCCCTTCTCCTCCTGCCCTCAATCCCTCCCAGCATCAGGGTCTTTTCCAATGAGTCAACTCTTCGCATGAGGTGACCAAAGTATTGGGAGTTTCAGTTTCAGCATCAGTCCTTCCAATGAACACACAGGACTGAGCTCCTTTAGGATGGACTGGTTGGATCTCCTTGCAGTCCAAGGGACTCTCAAGAGTCTTCTCCAACACCACAGTTCAAAAGCCACACAAACCTTCTACCTAATAAAATTATGCCACCTTTTTTGATTAAGTCAATAATGGCATTTACATTATTATTACTCTGCAAATGTTATTTAAACTTCATATTTCTTTTCTTGCTCAAGTTTTTTTCTGGAGTTTTAGTTGTTTATACTTACTTTCTTCTTAGTGTTCTCTATCACAAATGTATCTCTATATCCTCAAAAGAATTAAATATGGTTTTCCCTACATAAAAACACATTCAGTTCAGTTCATTTCAGTCGGTCAGTCGCGTCCAACTCTTTGTGACTCCATGGACTGCAGCACGCCAGGTTTCTCTGTCCATCACCAACTCCCAGAGCTTACTCAAACTCATGTCGATTGAGTCAGTGATCCCATCCAACCATCTCATCTAAAAACACATTAGACATTCAATTTAAAACATTATGAAAAGTCCTCCATATTCATGTTCCAATCTGGACTATATTTTAGTATCCAAAAAAAATGTTGTTGTGCTCTGTCATGTCTAACCCATGAACTGTAGCCCATTAAGCTACGGGATTTTCTGTCCATGGGATTTTCCAGGAAGGACTCCTGGAGCGGGTTGCCATTTCTTCCTCAAGGGTATCTTCCTGACTCAGGGATCAAACTTGTTTCACTTGCATCTCCTGCATCAACAGGCACATTCTTTACCACTAGTGCCACCTGGGAAGCCCAACCAAAACA